CCCGCACCCGCACAGGCACCCGCACGCGCACGCGCACGCGCACGCACACGCGCACGCGCACGCACACGCACCCGCACACGCACACGCACACGCACACACACACACACACACGGATACATTATGAACACACACACAAGTTACACAAGAAAAGTACGCAACATAAATACATATATACCTGGGCCCCCTGACCCTTGTGTTTTTTTGGGGCTTTCCCGATTTCCAGTCTTCCCCTCAAAATTTCAAGTAGCACCAAATGAGCTCAACCTGTCCGTGCTTGCTTGCCTTGATAAATGAGGGGGGCTTGGGTGAACTTTTCGTGGCAAACCCCCCCCCCCCCACAAATCGCCCGGCCCATGTTTTGGCCTTCGCGCTGGCTGCCGGAGTCTGGGTCAGGTGCCCAGCTTCTGCTCTGCATGCCAGACATGACTGGCAGCCACCAAGTATCGCTGCAAAGTGCGCTTTTGAGATGTGCTTGCAAAAACTCGTCGACTCAACAGCGATGCTCGTCCAATGAAGTCTTCAGCTTGGCTACAACTATGTGCCAACACATTGAGTGGTCGATGACCTTGAAGAAGTACTTGACGCATTTCGAGTATCATGTGGTGGTAATAATGCATCTTCGGTCGGAATACGAAAAGGGGTCTCTCAGCAGCGTACGCAAGAGTTGTCAACTTCGAGTAGCTTTTGAGGAAACACATACCAGCCTCAACTGCTTTGTTGCCCAGGCTCTCCTCCTAGGATTTGCTTTGAGCAAACGGTTTGAGCAAACACTATCGCAAACAATGGTCTTTTTTGCCACCGGTGAAACCCACCCGTTCAACACCATCGTTTAGCAAAAGGAAACTGTGAATATATTTCAAGGGTCCACGAACAAGTCCGCATCGTAGAGACACCTCATGCTTACTCCGATGGCCTTGCTGGCCGCGTGCAAATAGTAAAGGGTCTTGTCGTTGGGCAGCTCCTGCAACCACATTTCAGAAATGTGCTCGATGAACGAAATTATCTTGGCAGTGTCGGATGCCTTGGACCAGGTCCCAGTTGGAAATGTCTTGGTAGCATCCATAAACGACAAAGACCCCCGGGCAAAATACACCAAGTGGGTGTGCACTTTGTACATCTGCTTCCACAGGCGAAAGCAAGAGTTGAGGATTTGCAGCTGTGCGTCGACAGACTCTCCATCAGGAGACTTGAAGGCCACTGGAAGCAAATAAACCAAGGCAGAGCCGGCAAAGTCTTGTCCAAAACCTGCCAAGTAAATGTGAAATAAGTCCGGTAAGAGAAACTTTGCAGGCCGGTCTCGGTAGCGCAAGCTGTTTGAAATCAGCCCCGTTTCCTCGCCAACTCGCCAAGGTGGCTCGGCAAAAGACTCCATGGCCTTGAACCACGCGGGCTCCAGTGTGCACCTCTTCGTATGGGAACTGGGGGTCACCGGCAGGACAAAGCCAGCAACAAAGGCCCATAGTTCGATTGACAACGCGATAAGGATCTAGGGGAGCTTTGCGAGTGGTGCTGTACCATCGGAGCAGCTTTCCAGCTCTGGCCTGGAGCTTCAAATCAGCTTTCAGGCCCAGTAGCACCAGTCTCAAGCGGCGATTGCCCAAGGATACTCCTTGGTCAAAACATTCTCGCAAGTCTATCCCCAGCTGAGCCAGCATAAACTGAAAAGAATCCTCATCCTTGTGGTGAGTTCCAAAACTATGCCCAAGAAGGTTCACCCGCATTGGATTGCGGGAGTGTTTGAGCTGCCGGATTGACGGGTCCTTTTTGTTTTGCTTACCAGTGCCACTTCCCAGCACTGCGCTCCAGTTGAGTACCATGAACTCTGACTTTTTGTATCCACGCCCGCCATCGGCGTGCACATAGATTGGAACGCAGTCCTGCAACTCAATGCCCATCGAAAAAAGCTCGAAGTCTGGGTAACATTTTTCATAGCGTTGCCAGAATTCGAGCAGAACAGGGCCTGACTGTTGAAGGGAAACGCCACCCAGCAGGCGGTGGAGATTTCCGCTCTTGGCCATGTACTTCAGGAAGTCCATGGGTAAAAGCCTGGGATACCCTTCAAGCGGAGCATAGCCTTTGATGGGAACCAGGTCAATGGGCAGTGCAAGGCCATGTTTAACCAATAAGGGGTGCATTCTTTCCTCAGCATCGTTTTTCTTCAGGCTGGCAATGCCCCGAATGACAGGACAGCTTTGCTTGCTGGATTCTCCCGCCCCTCCGGCCAAGGTGGACTTGGCGTACCCGACGACGTGAGCGCAAGGCACCTGGGCAGGCAGGTTCAGCTTGGGGGTGGCAAGGGTCAAGGGAAAATAGGATTTCGCTCAGCTTTGCGATGTGCAAAAACTCAACTTGCAAGGGATATGTTGGTGAAGCTCCCCATTTTCAGTAATGGTTCAGCCATACAAACCACGATCAACACACGTTCACTCCTTTTTCGACCCGTTCGCAAAGTGCTAGAGAGCAGACTTAAACACTAAGTACGTAAAGAAAGGACCATTGCCTACCTTTCTACCCTCACCCCCTGGCCGAACATTGCGATTGCCAGGCTTCCCCAGATGGGCTTCAATCAGCATGGCCTCCATTAAGGCTGCCTCTTCCCAAGTAACAGCTGCATACAGCACATACATGCACTTGAATTTTTCGTGGCCTCGATAATAGCCTGCTGACGGGGAGGCTTTGCTCGGCTCCTTGTAGAAGCGGAACAACGGATCAGCCGTCAGGCCCAGTTTGTACACAGTGGGCCCTTGATTCAGAACACGTTGGACCATGTTTTTGCAAAATGCCAAAGCCTGACCTGCATTTGCAGAGGCCGGTGGCATTTTCAACCAAACCAAGCCATCATCACCCAACCCTTTGGAAAGCAGCTCATGTAAGGCGGCGTTCTCACGCAGCGCTGGCTTGAACAGCGCCTGCACGTTGATTCCTTGCAAGGCTCCGCCCAGGAAAAATGAGATGGGGCGGCTGAATGCAAACCATTGCAACAACAATGCGGCAAGACCGAGTCAAGGGCTTTGCTGGGCTTCTTCACAAGAATCGGAACCTATCGTTCTTTTTGTGCCATGAGCTGCGCAGATGGACTTTATAGGACAAGACGTTGGTGTGTTCTGCATCTCGGATCCTTAGCACACGCTGCCTAGAGATTGAATCAGCCAGCAGTCCAGCAAGCAAAAGCCATGCTTTTGGAAGAAGCCAACAAGAAGACCAAGCTTAGTTTTCATATGTTGCGGCCTGAAGCCTCCTGACTTTTGTTCTCTCTAACTCACGTCAAAGCGGCCCGTTCGGCAGGCATTGAGACAAATCCCTAGAAGTTCTTCAAGCCACTCTGTGTCAGCGTCCGGCATGTTGACGAGCCAAACAGCTGCCAGTTTGCGACTACGGCGGCGCAACTGCAATCAGGCATGAGACCACGCGCTAGAGCAAGCAACGCCCGACCTGAGTCCGGCACCCCCGACCCGATGCAGCCAGCAACGAACTGCGCTGTCGGACTGGCAACTGCGCTCGGTGTTCCACCTGGCAAGCGCAGTGCTTCAAGGAAGTGCGACATGATTTGTTCCAACCAGCCTGCAGCTGCACGCTTGCTGTTGGCCGTTTTACCCGCAGCAACTCTGGGTTGGCCCACGTTGCTTGATTTGACCCCATGTGTGCCTCAAAGGCACATGCGGATTCAGGTGGCTTCCTTGAGCAAGCCTGTCAACCCCAATGAGGCCATCCAATGGATGGCAAAAAGAACATAACTCACTCATCATCCTTCTTCTTGGGAGCCTTTGGCTTCCGACACAAGGACCTTGGGCGAAAAGACTAGTTGGATTGCGAAAACTCAATGGTAGCTGAGACGAGCGCCGGTTCTTCTTCTCAAAAGAAGTCCACATCGAGATCCTGGGTCCCGAACAGTTTGGGTTGGGCATATAGTAAAATCATTGAAACACGAATTCTAGGGCTTGGGCAGCTTCTTGGATTCGGTAAAAGTTGTCTCCAGTCGCGCATCGCTCCTCAGGAAAGAGGAAGAAGACAGATCCAGGCAAGCTGGGAGAAGGGAAGTCAACTGGAGTCCGACCACTTTATGTTTACCTTCCCAAAAAATATCCGGGGATCACTGGTTTTTTAGGGCAGCAAAAGAAACACACAGATTGGCCGCTCGCGTAACACCAAGTCAACACGTTTCTTCTGACCAGCTGTTGAATCGGGGAAGGTGTGAGCAAACTCTGATAGCAGTTGCTTGCAGACTAGAATCTCAGGGCCGCTTTGCAGCTCGCCCACCTTCAAAGCAGCCGTCATGTTGGCCAAGCCATCATACAACTTGTTGACGGTTGCCACCATGCCCTCCGCGCTTTTCTTTGCCCTTAGGTGTCATGCCCTGTGAAGCATTCAATGTAATCTAAAGCTTCAAGGCCACGCGTGCACAAAGAAACCAAGCACTGGACGCGGGAGCCCCTGCAGCAGCCGAGCCCTCAAGCTTTCCGAGGAAGTTCTCTATTTTGCTGTTGACGGACAAAAGCTCCTTCATGTGGGTCTCAATGGAGTTGGCCTGAAAGGACGCAGTGGAGTTGGCCGTTTAGCTAAAACTTGCATTTCCAGTAGACCGAAGAAGTCACAAACGTCAAGCAATTCAAGACCAGGCCTTGTTGGGTTTGTCCTCCTTCAACGCTGGCCCCTTGTGACCCAAGCCAGCCAAGTCCATTTTATTGCCGAGAACTGTGCCCTTGAAAGATGAAGTGGTGCCCTCGGCACTGGTTGTTTCAGAAAGCCTTTCAGTGTTCTTCTTGCGCAGGACCCCTTTGACCCTCACGTTGCACCAGTAATACGTCACGGTCGAGTCGACTTCATCATTCCTGAGCCCAAAGCCACAAACGGACACATTGTTCGATTCAATGTGTGCAATTGCAATCGTGACGCATCATGTACTCTGGGTCGGCGTCTCCCCGTGCCACAGTGGCATCAATTCTTGACCTCAGCTTCAAAAGGTGCTGAAAGACGGAAACTTAATCTTGCACTTTCTCTATTTAGGGTCCGAAGGTCTGTTTATAGTGCAGCAGCTCCTTCATCTCTTCCGGGGTATAGAAGCCTCCTTCTTCCTCCAACTCGTGGGTTTTTTCATGAGACTTCTCCATTGTCACGACCTTCAGGAAAGCGTCCTGCCGTGGGGCGGCCGTCCCAACAATCAAATTTCGCGTTCAATGGGTGCTTCTATCACTTGTTGCAAAAAAATGTTTTCAGAACCCCTCCTCTCAAAAGGAAGCCCCGCGTGCTTTGGAAAAGAAGTATCAGAGTTCGAAAATGGGGGGGTGTTACGGTTACAACACTAACAACAACAGCATCAACAGCGACGGCTTCCATTGGAGGGTCTGAAAATTAACATCCCCGCCTTAGGAAAGTGCGGGTTGCTTTAGAGCTGGAAACATCCGTAACCTTGGGAAGTAGCTTCCATCTTGGCGCCCTTTGCACACAAACCCACAGCAACTCCAAAAGCGTGGCCTCCGTTTGAGGGATTGTGTGAAAACTATCATTCCCCAAACTGAAGCCACACTTTTGATGCTGCAGTTGTTGTTTTCATAACACCTTTCAAAGGGAAGGGTCCAGGATGTTTTCAGCCCCCCCCCCAAAAAAAAAAAGGAACCCTCCACTTTGCCAAATCAAGAATGATAACTTTCACACAACCCTTAAATGGAAACCTTTCTTGGTTGTTTGCGAAACCCCCCCAAATGGAGGCCACACTTTCTAAGGTCAAGGACTTTTCAGCCCACCAAAAACACCAAAAAGGAACCAAGTCAGGGGTTTGTGAAAGCTATCCTTCCAGACTTGGGAGAGTGGGGGGTTCGTTTTGGGGTCGCTGGAAACATTATTGACCTGGCAAAGCGTGGCTTCTGTTTTGGGAGCGCCGTGAATACGGCATCCATTTGAGGGGTGCTACAAAATCATCCGCACCTCAAAACTGGGGCTTCAGTTGAACGCGTGCAAAGTTGACATCCTTGATTTGGTGGGGGGGATTCTGTTTGGATTGGAGGAGGAAAGTGTGGCAAAAGGTCCTTCTCACACCCAACTTTGATGAAAGCCTCAAAAAGCTTCTCTCGTGTGTTTCCCTTCTCCATGTACTGCTTGAAGATGTCGCCGGGCACTTCAATGTTTCCGCTACCGCGCTTTGGTTCGCACAATCGCCTGAATTTGCCCCGGAGCTTCTCGTATTCTTCCAAGGTGTAATCTTGGTCACCCACCCGTTTTGTTCCAGAATTCTCGGCAAGCTTCTGGTCAGTCTCAGTTGGCAGATGCTTGTCAAGAAGCACTCAAACTGTTTCCCTCTTACAGCCCCAAAGGCGCGAAAGGTAAACGCGCCAATTCGGGAAACCTTCGCTTCGCCTAGCAACCTGCGAGGCCTCGGGCGAAGGAGTCTTGTGACCGCTGGAAGGCGCCGTCGTGGTGGCTGAAGGTGGGGACGCTGCCTGGGCGGATGTTTCGGAGAAGGGCCGGAGTAGAAACCCTAACCAGGCCGGAAAGCCCAATCCTGGCTTGCTGCAACTTTTGCGGGCTTTCCCGTTGGAGGTGACAGCGCCCGCTTCTTCTCAACAGGGGTCATGCAAGCTTCCTCAACCGAGTAAGGGTCACTTACTGCCCTGTCCAAAGGTGAAGGTGATGAAGGCGACGCAAATGCAGAAGCGAGAAGGATCGCCAAGGCATCATCAGTGGGATCAAACTCATTCTTAGGTTCCTCGGGTGGCGAAATCACAAGGGTCGACAAGAGGGCACGAACTTTCAACGTTGAATCAAGTACTGAACAACAACTGGTCGAGGAGCTTGGTCTAAGCCCTCAAAGCCTTCTAAGCCTTCAGCTTCTTTTGTGGGAGTGACCTTTTCCACCTTCACAGTAGACTCCTTCATCGGTGACGGCATGCCTGGGATGGTTTCAGCCTCTTGGATTTCGACCTCGCTTTGCTCCAGCTTGGCGCGCATCTCCTGCCGCAAAGGCAACTACGGAAGGGGGTTATGAAAAAAACTGTCCAAAGGCTTCTCTCCTCGACGTAGTTCTTCAGGGCTTGTTCATCGTCCGGAAGGTGCGTCATTTGCTCAATTGCGCTTTCCAAAGATGCACAGCTCCACGCGTGACTTGTTAAAGTCTGGAGGGCCATGCAGCAAGCTAAGAGTCCCAGCTGAGCTCGAGTTGGCAGCCCTCATGCAAAAAAGGATGTTTCAGAAAAGTTCCCCAGATTGAAGGTCTTGGGAGGGCCCTGGACCAAGTTTTTCAGGGGCTCAAAATTGCGTAGGGGCCGACCCTACAGGGGCACGTGGGGCGACACCACTTTGGCGTCGAATTGCGCTGCTTTGGCGTCGTTTTGGCGTCGTTTTGGCGTCATTGGATTTTCAGTCTTTGGTGTCACGTATCTTTGGCGTTGTGGTCTCGATCGTTGGCGTCGTGTTCTCAGTCTTTCACATGTTCCCAAACTCCCAAACCGGCCAAACCACGAAAGCCGGCAAAAAACTCAGAGGGCACACATGATGCCAGCAATCCTGGCAGCAAAAAGCAGGTCTTTTTACTCCCAAGCCATCAGTGGCAAAAGTCGAATTTGGTGGGAAGAGCCCCCCTCCCAAAAAGAAGGGCCACATGGTTCAAGCTCGTCACATCTGTTTTCGTTGGGGAGCCCCTTGATCCCACCAATCAAATCGCTTTGGGAAGCCATTGCCTCCACCTAGCCGGAATTCGCAACGCGCGGGCCCCGTACAAATACACACACAGATCCCTTAATTTGGCGTCGTCCCACATGTCGCCCCACTCCCAGTTGTTCCACAATTCAAACTCGTCCACATCCAAAGAATCTGTGACGTAGTCACAGGGCGGCTTGATGTGGTCCAGGAGAGAAGCAATTTTGTTACCGAACATCGGCGTGTACTGCCTTGGCCACGGAAAGCCCTCTTTAAGAAAATGGTGCGGTTTGCATCAACATGTTTCCTTGCTGAAGCAACTAAGGATCCGTCTCCGTTTGTTTAAGAGCAGCCGTCCCATGGTACCTGGAGCGCCCTTCTGAATCTTTATACTTTCTCACTGGTTGGGGAACGTTCTCTTGCTTCGCCTTCTTTTTCTGGTACTCCAACTTCTTCAAAGGACGTGTCCGAAAAAGGCCAACTGATGCACTGCTGCTCCATAAGCATGTCCGTTTTGGCGTCGGTGCGCCATAATGCCACATCCAAATGTGAACCTTCCAAACCTGCCAGCAGGGGCTTTTCAAGGGGTGCCCAACCATTCACCCCTTGTTCTAGGAGCTGCCCAGCCTGGAAGGAGGAAAGTAGTTGTTGCATGCGGCTGTGTTGATGGAGTAGACTGGACCGGGGTTGTTCCAAAACATAGCTTCCTTTGAACGCCACGGTAGCCAGGCAAAGGGCTGCCACCCTAGCAGGGGCAATAGGCAGTAGTTCAGAAACGCCCAAAGAGTGCCCATTTTGATAGGAAGGCCTTGCAACCATCAAATTAGCGGCAGCTACGCATTGAACTTCCTCAAAAAGACCTTCTGGAACCAAGCAAGATCTGCCCGTTGAGCCACGCGAGGTAGCCACCCAAGTGGAACATTGTACCCCCAGCCAGTGGACCCACCCTTCAGGACTGCCACAAAGAGCGGCGGCCAACGCTGCCCTTGGCTTTTTGCATGAACTGTTCTCTGGAACCATTGCGTGACACTTGTCAAAAAGTAGGCAAGGGTCCCCATCCCTGAAGAAGTATTGATATCCATGGAGGTCGTAAACTTCACGTCCAGGGATGCAAGCGCTTTTTTGGGAAAGGTGGATCTGACAGCCGCTGATGCGGCGGCACGTCCAGCGAAGCTTTCCACGAAGATGAGCTCCTACAATGAAATGGAGGCGGGGCGGCGGGCGATTGGGGAAGCGAACTTGTTTGACCCCAAACCCCACTCATTAATGTTCCAGACCGTCAGTCCTGAGAGAAATCAATGCCTTGATTCCAGAGAAGGAGCAAGCACGCGAAAGCAAGTACCTTGGCAAACTCAGCGTTTCTCTGTGCTGCGCCCCCCTTTGAACAACTACCTGTTGGGAGTACGCTAAAGTCAAGAGGAAGCACCTTTGGAGCTTTCAGCTTGTGCAGCCGCTGCAAAATTTGCGATTCGGTCCATCTAGCCATGTTGTAGGCCGGCAACCCCCTTGCTGTCAACTACGTCCCTCTGAAGAAAGCCTAGTGCAAAAGCTTTGCAAACGGCTGCGGCGCAATGTGCGAAAAGGTGAAATGTTTTCCTGCAAGTGTCAATGTAGGGTGGCCCAACTTGTCAGACAAGCAAAAAAGCAAGAGGCGCAATGAGCTCAAACAAGGTGTCCGAAATACCCTTTTTCAAGCTTAAAGAAGAGGTGGCCCCGGACACCTCAGCAGATGGCCTCCTCAAAGTGATTTTGCCCGGAAGTCTGAAGGGGTTAAATGTTGAAGGTGGCCTCGATAGCCTTTTTTCGGCTTGGAAAACGGATGTCCAGGACACCTCGAAAAATGCTTTTGTAACTTCAGTCAACTCCAAGAGGCGAGACGGACAAACATGCCAGTTGCAACCTTCTACGTTGATGAGACCCTTCTTGGCCGCGGTCCGGCGCCCTCGTAGTTCCCGCCGATCCATGTAGAACCCACCTGCGTCGTGGCAGGTGAGGCACCATACTATAGAGAGATGTGCCAGGCATCAGGACGCTTTTCAATAATCAGAAATTTGAAAGCCATGTGACATCCCGCAATGGAGCAACGAGTTCTTGCTGTGGGTTAGCAAGTTTGGCTTGAAAAACGCTGGCTTTGGGATGAGACGCACTGATTTCTCACCACCACGAATGCAGTCGACTGTGGGGCGATCATGCTCTCGCTGGAAACATGGAGCGTAGTAAATTAGTGCTAACCCTAGACACGCCGGCTTGCAACTAGCGCTCTTGGCTCCCTCATGCAAGCTACCGCCAGCAACTAGCCACGGCGCATCGTTGGGATTGACAAAAGCAAAAAGCATTGCTAGCGCTTAGTCCACATCCTCAGGCTCTGTCTTGTTCGTGGCTTTTGCAGCAGAGTCCAGCAGGCCATTCCTGTTGGGCGAGGTGTCGCAAGGACGTGAAGCTCGTGCCGGAACCGTGAAAGGAATACAAACAAAGAAATCGAGAAACGCAACTTGTTGCAGAAGTGATGGAACATGCCAAGAAACTTCATTTCCTTCAGCATTTCCGCCGCGGCCACCTGGATGTAGCTGAAATCGGAGGGGTCGCAGTCGTCCACTGCCTTCTTCTTGGCCTGGACCAGCTTGCAGAAAGCCATCTGCAGGGAATTTGAGCGCAGCATGGCAATCACACTTTGTTCAAAAAACAGTGCTCAGTTTCCTTTAAAGTCACACTTGTCGCGCAAAGCACCCACCCCTGCCGTCCTGAGCCTTGTGCTTGGTTCTGCCCTGGAGCTCTGGCTCGACATGCTCCTTGAACGCCAGGCAAGTGCGGATGTACTTGTCCAAAGCCCAGCCACCCTCCGGGCGAGCCCTGCCACCGAACGTGGCAGGAACCTTGCCTTTCTGCTCCTCCAGCTTTGTGTCAGTTGACGTTGAGACCGGTCCAGAGCTGCGTGTCTTCTTGCTCGGGGGCTCCAGCGTAGGTGGGCTCTCAGGAGACGTTGTGGTAGAGGAGACCGACTTTCTTGCACGCTTGTTTTGTGTAGAAGGTGACGCTTTCGCTGCCCTCTTCCTGGCCTTGGAGCCGTTCTGGGCATTCTCAACAGCTTGGGTGGGGTTGGTGGCTGCCTCTGCGGAGTCACCCTTGCGCGCCAATGCCTTCGCCTTCCCCTTAGGCTTTGCAGCTGCGCCTTTGGATTTCGCTTTTGCAGTGGCCTTGGCCTTGGCTTTGGCTTTCGCCTTGGCCTTGGTCTCAGCCTTGGCCTTGGCGCTTGCCTTTGCCACCGCCACAAGTCGCATCTGCTCATCTTTGGTGACCACTTCCTTCGGGACAGGGTTGATGCGGAGTTTGCTCACACAGTTGGTTGAAGGCTGGTTCAAACAAACGTGGTTTTAATTTTAAAGGTCTTTTTTTGTGAGGGATACTAACAGCTTGTTGCGGCAAACTACCAGTCCTCAGCAGGGGATATAGCAGGTAGGTCGTCTTTGTTTAGGGTGCGCTTGGGCGGTGTCGTGAAATTGCCCAGCGCCTCAGCAGTGTCGGGCTTGTTCTGCGCGCTTGTGCTGTAGATCTCCTTCGCCACCTCTGCCTCCGCGTCGCTGCCCGCCTCCACCTTCGTGTTGACCGGCTTCTCCGCTTGCGTCTCCAACCCCTTGTCAAAGAGCCCCTTCTCCACCTCCACGTGGACCTTCTTGCCCCCGAGCTCCTTCATCTGCGTGACAACGAAGCTGCCCTTCTCCGCCTGCGTCTTGAGCTCCTTGTTGGTGGAGAGCTCCACCTGCGCGCCACCACCCGTGAAGCTGTCCTGCGCCTGCTTGGTAGAGAGCTCCGCATGCATGCCGCCCACAAAGCTGTCCTTGTCCAGCTGCGTGTTGAGCTTCTCCTTGGTAGAGAGTTCCACGCCGCCCGCGAAGCTGTCCTTGTCCACCTGCGTGCTAAGCTCCTCCTTGGTAGAGAGTTCCACCTGCATGCCGCCCGCGAAGCTGTCCTTGTCCACCTGCGCGATGACCTCCTCCTCCTTGGTAAAGAGTTCCATGTACGTCCCGCCCGCAAAGATGTCCTTGTCCGTCTGCCCATTCCGTTTCTGCTTGGGTGACAGTTCCACCTGCGGGCTGCCCATGAAGTTGTCCTTGTTGATCTGCGCATTGAGCTCCTCCCTGCCAGAAAGTTCCACCTGCGTGCCGCTCACGTCGACCTGCACGTTGGCCTCCTCCGTCTGCTTGGTAGAGCGCACGTCGCCCATGAAGCTGCCCTTGTCCACATGCGTGCTGAGCTCGCCGCCCACGAAGCTGTCCTTGGCCACCTGCTCTGTCTGCTTGGTAAAGAGCTCCGCCTGCGTGCCGTCCACGAAGCTGTCCTTACCCACCTGTGCGTTGAGCTCGTCCTTGATGGAAAAAAGCTCTGCCTGCGCGCCGCCCACCAAGATGTCCTTGGCCACCTGCGGGTTGAGCTCCTCCTCCGCCTGGATGCTGCTGAGCTCCACCTGCTTGTCAAAGACCTCTTTCTCCAGCCGCGCATTGAGCTCCTTCACCTGCGTGCTGTAGAGCTCCCTCTCCACCAGCTCCACGTCTATCCCGCGCAGCCCGCCCTGCGTGTTGCTGAGCTCCTGCGCCGCCTTGCCAAAGAGCTCCTTCTCCACCAAGTCTAGCTGCTCCACATGCGTGCCGTAGGGATCCTTCTCCGCCACCTCCTCCCCCGTCTCCGCCTGTGTGCCACCGTGCTCCACCTGCAAGCCGCTCAGCTCCACCTCCAGCTTGTCAAAGAGCTCCTCCGCACAGTAGGGATCCTTCTCCGCCCCTGTGTCTTTGCACTCGTCCACACTGTCCTCCTGCGAATCCTCGATGACAAGCACGTCCTCGAGATGGGCGCTTGCTGTCATGCGTTTGAGCTCGGGCCAAGAACGCCGAGTTCGCCCCAAGTAGTTGACAGGCACGTTTAACAGTGACCAGCTGCCTCTGGCTGTGCTGGGCTGAGAGTCGCAAACAAGCAGCTGTGTCTCCATTTCGTCCGGGTTAAGCTTGTAGCCGCACTGGACATCTGGCGCTGTGCCCTCCGCAGCGTCTCCTTCGCAACATTTGTTGGACTCAACGAACTTGCGTTTGAACCAAATTTGAACCAAATAAGAAAAAGAATGATGTTGATTGAAACATGTTCAAAACAGTTTCCTGAGCCGGTGTCACGAGCACCATTTGGCAGCGATGGGGAACGGCTTCGCACGGCTGAAGGGATCTTTCCCACAGCGAGCTCGGGTATCCTCGCACAGACATGCTTAATCTAACATAGGCAGCACGCATTATCAGAAGAAAAGCGCGTGACAAATTCCAGCCCAGGCGCTGCTCGTCACCACGCGTAGCCTGCAGTTTGCGTAGCTTTTCTTCAGCCTCGCGTAGCTTCTCCTTGTAGGCCGCCAGTAGTTTAGCCGGGTCTGAGCTTGAGGATGCGGAGCTGCTCAAGGCAGTCGCACCGTCGCTTGGCTTCACGCGCTGGTCTGAAGTTGCAGGAGGCAAAGCCGGAGTTAAAGCCCGTGAAGATGCTTGAGGCTCTTTGGGCAACAGCTCAGCTTCCTCTCCCATTTGCTGCCCCTCACGCGTGCCGCCAGCTTGCTTGTCAGCATCCGGGTGCTCAGCATCAGGGCGCTCCTCAGCATCAGGGCGCTCCTCAGCAGCAGGGCGCTCCTCGGCATCAGGCTCAGCACCACAATGCTCAGCGGCGCCTTCATCAGCAGCCTGGTTGTCATCACCCTCACCTCCCGCGCCAACATCCGTGCCCTTCTGCAAGTCCTCAAGGGGGCAAGCTTCGTGCTCAAAATCAACAAGCCTGTGCAAAAAGATACGGCCATCCTGTCCACACAACACGTTGAACAGCTGTCCTCAAGCCGCTTTTGGTACGAGGCTTTCAGCATGTCGAACAGCTTGGTAGCTTCGGAATCCTAAGCCAAGTCCCGACCATTTTGAAACCCGAGCTGGTGCAAAACAAAAACAGGCCAGTAATTCCGAGAAACTCGCATGGATTCGTGTTTGCCAAGGTTTTGCCGCAGGTGGGATATCATTTTGCAAATGCCCCAGGCGTCTTGGTACGCCCACGCCTTCAAGCCTTTCTCACTGACGCTCGTGTAGAGCTGCTTGTTGAACGTGTAAAACGAGAAGGCCATGCGCCAAAGGTGCCCGATCGGGTCTGCTCCAACCCGCCCACGAGAAAGCATGTGAGAGAGGACGGCTTCGAGCACCTCAGAGTTGAGCTTGAGGTTCTCGCTGCTTGCTTGCACCTCCGCTTGCCCCGTCACGTCCAGCACGAGCTTCTTGCCGTCGCGTGCGCGTTGGCGAAGGATTGGAAACTCATCCCACTTTGCCCCCAAAGACTCACAGTCGCTCGCCACAGGCCCATCCTTGAACCCCTTGGCCACCATTGGGGCGAACTCAGGAGCTAGCAGCTCAAAACAGCTATCGGGCAAATACGGTGTCAAGCCCTGCAACAAACCCAGGGGGAGCTTCGAGGGGAACCTTGGTGAGCTCACCCAGTCCCCTCCGCCGTTCTGGCCTGCAGGCGCTGGTGCTCTGCCGAGCCACCCATCAGACCTGGCAGCCGGCTCCGGGCATCGTGGGGCTTGGTGGGGTAGCTAAATTATTTTCCATGGCCACCCCAAACCCAGACTATTTATGTAAACGATGTTTTGAGGCAGCCGTCCAACCAAACTCTTGCAGCAGGTGAGGCTTTACCCCGGGTTTTTCCCCTAGGTGCACACTATGTTGATGTTCGAGAACTGAGAACAGCTGGATCAACTCGTGTCAGGCGCACCAACTGCATCACAATGGCCACAATTGGCCTAGAGCATCATTCCTTGAGCCACAACGTGGCTTTCGCGTCAGGCGATGAAGGTCCTGATAGGCCCCATCCTGAATTATCAGGCTTTTGGGATTCTCAGTCCAGACTGAAAAAAACCATCGTTCCAGGCTTCAGGTATATATATATATACACACCCTACTCCAAATACCCGGAGGTATTTAGGTTTTCCAAACGAGACACCTGAAAAAAAGAAGGTGGGTATTTGGAGTAAGGGGTATGTATATATATATATATATATTCATGTGGATGTAGTCTATAGATGCTCAAGCTTTGCTGATGGGCGCGTTGAACTTGGAGCCCGGGCTGGGTGTTTTTTGAGCCACCCCCAGAAGTGGTAGTTACATTCTTTCAGCGTTCAGGGCATAACCACTACCTTTTGGTTTAAACATTTCCTCTTGCTACTGTTGGATGAGTTTCCTTTGGGAATGTTGCAGGGGAAAGAATATTATTCCCGTCAGCGACCGTTCAAGAAAGGTCGTCCCAAATTTTGCATCTGTTTAGGTGTCTCATGTTCTTGTTTGGCAGCTTTAATTCACCCGGAACTATATTCCTGTGCCATGAAGGTGAATGTTTACCTGCCCAGTGGAGCTGGGTGCTCCATAGCAGTCTCACCGGAGACGCCCATCAGCGAGCTGAAGGCTGCAGCACAGCACAAGTTCCAGCGCCGTTTGAAGCTTACCGCGGAAGGCCGGCAGCTGGATTTGAAGGCCACGCTGAGTGAGGCCGGCTTGCGAGATAGGGATGTGTTGACTGCGGTCGTGCAGCTTGCCAATCTGGCTGCCACTGATAGGGCGTTTGCTTTTCATGGCCATGGGGGCGAGGTTGTGACCTGGGGTGACCCAGATTGTGGCGGAGACTGCAGCCAGGTGCAAGAGCAGCTCAGGAACGTCCAGCACATCCAAGCAGCTGCGAATGGTGCTTTTGCTGCCATTCTTGACTGTGGGGCTGTGGTGACCTGGGGTGATCCACACTATGGCGGAGACAGCAGCCGGGTGCAAGAGCAGCTGAGAAACGTACAGGACATCCAAGCAACTGGCAGTGCTTTTGCTGCTATTCTGAAATCTGGGGCTGTTGTGACCTGGGGTAATCCAAACTGTGGCGGAGACAGCAGCCGGGTGCAAGAGCAGCTGAGAAACGTACAGGACATCCAAGCAACTGGCAGTGCTTTTGCTGCTATTCTGAAATCTGGGGCTGTTGTGACCTGGAATAATCCAAACTGTGGCGGAGACAGCAGCCGGGTGCACGAGCAGCTGAGAAACGTCCAGCACATCCAAGCAACTTACAGAGCTTTTGCTGCCATTCTTGAATCTGGGGCTGTTGTGACCTGGGGTCATCCAGACTACGGCGGAGACAGCAGCCAGGTGCAAGAGCAGCTGAGGAACGTCCAGCACATCCAAGCAGCTGCGAAGGGTGCTTTTGCTGCCATTCTTGAATCTGGGGCTGTTGTGACCTGGGGTCATGCAGAATACGGCGGAGACAGCAGCCAGGTGCAAGAGCAGCTGAGGAACGGTCAGGACATGCAAGCAACTCAGAGTGCTTTTGCTGCTATTCTGAAATCTGGGGCTGTTGTGACCTGGGGTAATCCAAGTTGTGGCGGAGACAGCAGCCGGGTGCACGAGCAGCTGAGAAACGTACAGGACATCCAAGCAACTGCTCGTGCTTGTGCTGCCATTCTTGACTCTGGGGCTGTTGTGACCTGGGGTGATCCAAACTTTGGCGGAGACAGCAGCCAGGTGCAAGAGCAGCTGAAAAATGTCCAGAACATCCATTCAACTGACTTTGCTTTTGCTGCTATTCTGAAATCTGGGGCTGTTGTGACTTGGGGTGTTCGAGCACACGGCGGAGACAGCCGCCAGGTGCAAGAGCAGCTGAGGAACGTCCAGCAAATCCAAGAAACTCGCGGTGCCTTTGCTGCCATTCTTGAATCTGGGGCTGTTGTGACCTGGGGTGATCCAGCCCGTGGCGGAGACAGCAGCCGGGCGCAAGAGCAGCTGAGCCGTACTCTGGGGTTGTTGTCACATGGGGTCGTTCAGTGACTGTGGCGCGCTAAAGGCATGCCGGAAAAGGGGAACAACAAATCAAGTTTCACAGTTGCATTCGGCATGCAGAGTGTTGGTTTGGCCTGGGTATGGATCCTTGCTTATCATGGGTTGTGGGTAGTCCGGTGTGGATAATGACCTGAGAGAAAGTTGGCTGCTCCACTGTTTCTGGTAATTGGAGTCCAAATGAAGCTGACGTTTTTTGTGACTATGGACAGGAACAGTGGACGTTTGCACCTCATGCGGGCGAATCGGGTTCCTTTGCAATTGGGATACATCCCCGCATCCCTCTGGTGGAGGGATTTGGGTTTGCCATCGTTTCAGGGGATTCGGACCCCAAGGATTCGGTTTTCCTTCTGTTTTCCCTTTAAGCACCACAAAAACGAGGGTCCCTTCGCACATCCAAATTTCAATCGTGACAATTGCCCTTGAAAGAAATATATTGCCAGGGATCTGAGGAACTAGTATCGTGCTCACTGGCCGTACAGGCCAACCCTGGTTCCAAACGGCTATAAAGCGCCTCTGATTTGACTCCCTTTGGGTCCCGAAAAATCCCCTCGGCGTCGTCTTCGCGCCGACTCGCGACGCGGCCTCGTATTCGAGGGGCTTTGTTTCTTTCCGGGACGAAAGTTTTTTTTCGCTCGGGAGGCACGAAGGATTCTCAGATTATCAGCATTCACCATGCCCAGTTGCCCAGCGGCGCCAGTTTTTTTTGGGGGGAAAAGGGTTCCCCTTTAAAGTCAACCAACCGAAAAAAAGATGCCCTTTCTTTCTCATGGAATCCACTGAGCATGTGTTTAGCTGTGTTTAGCTGTGTTTAGCTTGTGAGTTCTGCTTCGTCGCTTTTCGTTTGTTGCTCTGCCCACGGGTTGTAACCAATGGTTGCCCTTTGGTGTCTTTAGGCCATGAGGCATAGACATGGAATCGGCATAGCCATGGGGGCAACGGCCCAGCTCGTAAGGATCCTGAATGAGTCGAGATTGATTCCTCAGGGAAGCATGACCTTTTCA